TTTTTTAGAATCAGGCAACCAAGTATATAGATTCGAGATGATTTATGGTTATGACATTTCGGCGGATCTAATTTTAAGCGGATAATTGGCTGGGAATAGTACCTGCTTCTTAAATCCTTTAACGTTAGATAAATAAAGGTTATAATGTTTTGTGTCTGTCTTCGTCCAACATATTGTATTTACCATTGTTTACGCAATATACGTTTTCGACGGACGAAGACAGAAACAGAAACATAGCAGATGCCTAATTGGTAGAGTTTTACAAGATGTTGTAAAAATAAAGGGAATTTTACTATATTTAATAATTATAACTTCTATTGCATCTGTGGCGTACAATTAAGGGGCATGGGTCAGTTGCGCGCCGCGGTAAAAAAAAATCTCCAACTCGAATGGCTGCCCGAATTTCTGCTGAATTTTGAAGAAAGCTGAACTTCGAAAAAAGTAATAATTTTAATAATTAAAAAATATTTAACAAATTAGGAATGCGTTGAATGTATATTTCGTTTCTGTAGAAACAAGTTGTTTACACTTATGAAATTGCTAAAAAGTAGTTCTTCAAAGTAAAAAATGAGTTTGTTAAGTGAATTAAGAAGAGTAATAGAAGAGGCTGCCCATTGTGCTTGTGCCTCTTTGTTACCAGAAAAATAAAAAATCCGGTGTAATCAATTATACAGCATTCATTACTTTTTTGTCTAGGGAGCGTAAGTAACACTTACGCGTTTAGCAACCTACTTACGTGGCTAGCAACGAGGTTGACCTGTCTACTTCACTTACGTTTACGTCAGTGTTATTGGAGCAGTGTCATTTACGCGATCGGTGGCAGAATTTTTTTTTTGTGTATTAAAATGAAGTATACAATTAAGAACTAATAATTTGTTGATTACATCTTGATGCATCAATTTGAATGAAATTTTTCAAATGGAGATAGTGTAATTGTGTTCTTTGTCCTGTACGATTTTCTTACCGAATCTGACCTTCTATAATGATTGATTCTTTGAAATTTTTCTCATGCTTTCCAACAATGTAATTAGACCCTCGTGTTCCACCCGGGCTAATTAATATATCTATTATTGGAATGCCTTCGAAAAAATTTCCGGAAACAATCATTGCACTTGGGAGTTTATAAGTGAAAATTTATCTGATAATACTACGTTTATAGAAGTAGATAGGTATTTCATAAAATACATATACACTAGGCACATTCTCACTAGCTCACTTCGTCAAGGTAATGCAAACATTGTCAAGACACCCATCTTTTGACTGTAGATTATCCGATATGTTTATAGAAAGCGAAATGAAGTTGGGTTTAAAATCTTTTAAACTGCGCTGCAGTTTTTGCAATCTTACAGAAGTGGTTTATTCCGAAGATGTGGAGAAAAATCAGCTAAGAATAAATATGTTTGCAATAAGTGCAGCAAATGGAGCTGGAGTAGGATTTTCCGTCTTGGAAGAAATTATTTCTGGCATGGATATGCCATGTGTGTCAAATAAAACATTTTTGAACTATCAAAATTTGGTCTCTGAATTGTGGAATCAAGAGATAGAAAGAGAAATAAAAGAAAATGTTCGAGATAACTGACGAAACGTGGGAAAACGATCTTCTGGTCATCACTTCAGTTCGCTAGCGCGAGCTGCAGCAATTATAGATTACTTTATACACCAAAAATTTGCTTCATTTAGGGATAAGTACTAAATACTGAATAAACTACCTGGTTTATTCTAGAGGAGCTAACGTGATTCTAAGAAACATAAATCCTTGAGAAACTATCGCTCTAAAAAGAGTTCTCGTAGCATGGAATCTACAACAGTGGTTGGAGCGTTTAGGCAAAGCGAAGACTGCGATACTCCCGATTAATCGCTGATGATGATAACATTGTCTACGCTAAAATTTTGGAAAGTAGGCTATACATAAAGTTAATGTTTCAAAAAAACTGAATGTGTTAATCATCAACTGAGAAATTTTTATAAAAAGTTAACAGATTTGACGTCAAATACGGCACATCCTGGTAATTAACGCAAAATTTTGAAAGAAAATGTGATAAGGTTGAGGGGATCTGTAGCAAAGGCTATTTAGTTTCGAAAACAAAATCTAAAATTTAAAAAACGATGTGCTAAACGCTCCTTAACACGTTTTGGGCGAACATAAAAACTGTAGTAAGTAGTTCTGTAAAGGCAACAAAGAAAATGAAATTAACGTCGTGGATTATTTTAAAAAGAGTCGTTTGTTTTACTGAATTGTATTTATAACTACCTATTTAGCACAATTGGCTGATAGTCTTTCTTATTCATAATGTGAATAATAATTTAGTAGAACACTTCAACTCTTTAGTTGCAAAGAAAGCTAGTGGAAAAAGGATAAATTATTTCCATAAAGATTCATACAAAACTATAGAAATGAATTAACAGGAGGTACTGAATACAACACAGGGGAACAACTGCAGTTAAAAACGTGACAAATAAAAACACCTCCGAATATGTTACTAAATTAGTAACTAACAGACGAAGAAAAATCCGAGAAAAGAGACGACAAAACAAACAGTTTAACAAAATGTTTGTTTTGAGTGAGTACCGTAATGTCGCGCCCGGCTATATTTAAGAATAATAATGAAATTATAACTATTATAATAACAGCTCGCTCAAAATTATGTGTAGCCCGTTTTGCTTCATCTATTTGTTTTAGCTTATTGTAGTTATATAAAAAAAATAAATTAAATTTTATAATTTCTCGATCAATTTTTAAATTAAATATTTTCTATTACAGGGTGCTTTCACTGGGGATTTGCAGTATGCATTATAATCACACTGAAGGAAACTAAACAAAAATATCAAGTATATTTTGCAGTGGTGAGCAACATGGAAATTGTCTCGAAGTGTATCGTAAATGGGAGGTACGCTGCTCTGTGTCCACCAGAAAAGATAGGCGCTTCATTATTGCTTACATCAAACATATATGCACATACCACTAATAAAATTCTTCGTAATGAAACCGTTGATGATCAACTTCAAGATTAAGTATGTACACCTAAATAACACGTCAGTGTCGACAGTTAATCAGTCTTGACCAGACTTATACATAGGTAGTAATAATTGCCCTAATTCTAAAATTTATTTATTCACCTATTAAATTTGACTTAAGAAATCGTTTTTTCTTAGTATAGTGATGTAAAATTCATAAGCGAGGCGTAAAAAGCGTATCGTAAAGTATTAAGTTTAGTCCGCAGATGGTAGGAATAAACTACTAGTTAAATAAAAGGTCGTAGATAAATACTTTTTTCATTAATAATCCAAGTGCAAATTTACTCTAAATTTACAAATTATTATTATAGTATTATTAATAGTTGAATGCCTATCAGTGTTCTACTTCTGAAAGTAAATAATAATAAAATATGTTATTTATGAGCTGTTGCTCTACTTTAAAGGCATATATAATACGATTATGAAATATTTTGAGACAAATAAATGGATTTAAATTTGATGTTAATTGTAATAGATTTATTAAGATTTTGTAAAATTGAACTAAACACAAAGTATAGAACCCATGTATAGAATGACTTTACAGAATGAGCTATTATTTTATAAAATATATATTTTATTTAAACAATGTTGTTTTTCGCGGGCAGAAGGTTAATAGTAAATGAAAAAATACGTTTAGCGCGGGCTATTTTTCTGAATGGGATTAAGCCTTTTTTTATTTTGAGTTACCGTGAGCAGAACCAAGCGCAATAAAGCTTTGGAGTACCATGACATTGGGTTATTGTATTGTTTGATCATCAAAAGAAATAAGTTCATTCTTTGTATTGTTGGATTTAATATTATCTCATTATTTAAGGCATGCTACATAAATTTGATGCTATTTTTTCTAATTTATATTTTGTTATTGTAACCACTCATTCTTCAGTTTTTAGAGTACTATGTGTCTATGGAATGAAAACGGAAGAAGATATAGTATTTAAACTGTTGTAAATATTTAAAATATAAGTACAAAATTGTTATTATTATATTCCATTTAATTGTTTAGACACATATCAAATTGATTTGATAGATGGAATTAACTGTTGAAGGCAATGCTACTTTTCGGTTCAGTAGAGTTAATAAATAAAATTTGTCGCAAGCTTTTTGTAAAACTCAGTTTCATATCTAAAACACCTGATTACATTTGAGTGTGTATGAGGTGAATGTTATTACGTATTAATTGACTAAACTATTCATCGTCCATTTCGATTATTATTTTGTTATAAATCTTTTTTGTCTCATATTTCAAACACGACTGAACAGTGCTCAAATATAACAAGCCACAACATGGTTAATGCAAAATTATCATTCCAAAAATAAACGAACCACATAAAAATATAATAAAAATATTTCGTTAGGTTGACATTTTTGAGAACTGTCATTTAGTTTTTAATATGGTGTACAAAATATTTTCTTCCTTCCTTCCTTGTAAATTAACTGCTGTTGTTCAAGTGGCATTTTTGATAATGCTGTCTGCTGGATTTTTTATTATAAGACTTTTATTTTTGTTAATAATGTATCAGACTTACATTCGGATATAAATAAATATTGAAAGTTAATAAGTTACTAAGAAATATACTAAATACAAAAACAATAGATAAATAATAATAGATAATCAATGTCATTAAACTTTTGAAATTAAAAACAACAGAAATTCCATTTTTTTATATTTATTAATAAATGAAAGCAATTTTAACAAGACAGTGTCTGTCTCTTGTATCTGGTTAAAAAAAAAATTACGCTTTAATTTTAATTATTGTTACCTAATAGCAAACTTGAAGTACAATAAAAGTAAATCGAATTTGATACAGCAAGTTAATTAAACAGTGAAGTAAGTTTTTTGTCTTACGACAGAGAAGGTCAGCAAATAAGTGTTTTAAAGAAAATTAATTAATCATATTATATGCTGATAATGTTTATACAAATAAATATGTCTAGCATACTTCCGTGAACAACAAAATTATTCGAGACGTTTTCTCAGTCTTACTTCATCTGTTGGCGTGATCAAAAATACTTATCAATTTTATTACTAATAATTATAATTGGACTTGGAACTTGATTTTGTCCTATATAATATGATTTGTTTTAAGCGTGGGCAGTATAACAAAATTAAACAAAGTGCTTTACGTACGCGGACATCGACACAGTTGTGTTTAAAAGTTTAAAATCCATTTAGTCATGGCAGTGCTAACTAAGGTAGGAATGTTTAGTGGATTCTTAATTAATCATTGAATCATTTACATTTTTGTAAATAAATTAGGCAGCAACATGTTCATATTTTACTGTATAGTTGGCGCGAAATGATTAATTTGTTCGTAATGTAGTTCTTGGCTTTTTCCTTTTTATGACTAAGCATCTACAAACGAAAATAGTAGACGATGATAAGTTTTTTTTTGTTGAAAAATTTAAGCAACTTTTTTTATCTTATCAGTATAAGAATTCATGTGTTGTAAGATTAGGTATTACCTACATTTGAAAATTTGTGTTAGTATTATATGATGGTTTATATAAGCACGTATATATTCAGTCCGATGATCAGTGCGTGATTTTGATTAAACAGTTTTTTGCAAATTAATTGGAGAAAACTATTTAAACCAGTAAATTATTTAGTTGTCTTATGCCAATTAAATATGTTATTCTTAACTCCTTTGGTGATAAAAACGTTTATGTTATAAAATTCATTAATTAGCAAAGCAAGAATTGATACGTGTGTTTACCAGAGAAAATAAAGAACTTATTTTTCTAGTTCAACGTGTGGATATAATTGTATAAAATATGTTGCTAAGTATATAGTATATATAAAGTCGTCACCAAAAAGTTATATATGTGGTTCAGTGTTGCATTCCTTCTTCTTGATTGCACGTATCAGTGACTAAATATATTGTCAACAATTTAAACATTTCGTATTACACTTTCATAACATACCACAATGTTTTTTTATTTTCAGGCGCAAAGCTTTCTTCTTGCTGTTTTATTTGTTACTTTTGTAACAAAAACAACTGCCAAACCAGGGAACTTTTATGAATTTGGAAGTGAACCTCACGAAGATAAATGCAAAGAAGGTGATGTAAGTATTTTTAAACTCACATTCACATAAAATACACTATATTTCATGTGAAAAAGATAATAGCAGCTAGTGTCCGGCAAAGAAAAATTAATGAGTTTGATTAATAAAAATTAAACACTTGTAGTTGTCAACTTTGTATTGAAGGGATGACGATTACAATTCATTTTAGTTTGTAAAGTAATTATACTTTGTTAATTATACATTAGAGTGATTCAAAAAAAAAAAAATATTTTTTTTTTCGTGCAAAGAGGTTCAAAAGTTTCTTTTCAACGTAAAAAAATACCAGTTAAAATTTGAGCTCTTAATATTAATATTAAGACCGTCCGCATCGCGTTTTTCTATTTCCCATAAGAATAACATGGGAAAATTTTTGTTTGCACCTTCTGATTTTTATTGCTAGCCCGTCGTGTGTCGTGAAAAAAATTCAATCACATATTTTTATAGAGAATTGAACGCTCTACAAAAAGTGTCTCCTATGATTGTGCGAGAAACCTGATAGTTGAAGAGTTATTTTAGGCTAAAGTTAAATTTATCCAAATTTTGACGTTTTTGATGCATTACAATAAATTTGATGGTCTTATTGGAATAAATCACCACACAAATTTATACACATTTTAAATTTAGTTTTTTAAACAGTAATTGTTTATAATTTTATGCTATAATAAGGCCAGTAAAACTCTTTCCGAACATTTTCAGCATCAGTGGGTTAAAAAATCATAGTCAGGTTTCTCGCAAAATCATAGGAGACACTTTTTGTAGAGCGTTCAATTCTCTATAAAAATATGTGATTGAATTTTTTTCACGACACACGACGGGCTAGCAATAAAAATCAGAAGGTGCAAACAAAAATTTTCCCATGTTATTCTTATGGGAAATAGAAAAACGCGATGCGGACGGTCTTAATATTAATATTAAGAGCTCAACTTTTAACTGGTATTTTTTTACGTTGAAAAGAAACTTTTGAACCTCTTTGACACGAAAAAAAAAATTATTTTTTTTTTTTGAATCACCCTATTATACATATATTAATCTGCATTATTAACAAACTGTCAACAACTTTCTCTAGACAATGAAAGGGTACTTTTTTACACAGTTCATCTTCTTTTTAAAATTGTGGTGAAATTTTTATCACATCTTTAAAAATTAATATCTCAGTTATTTATGGAAGATTCGGAACGCGGTTTTCGCCACGGTTTTCAGATTACGAAACGCTATGAATCGTCGGAAAAATATTGTCGATTTTTTTTGTCGGAGATGAAATACATAAAAAGCGGGTTGTCTCGAATGATCTAACTTTGACTGTACCTCATTTCACCGTAATCTACATCCCACCCGATCTTTGACCGCTGCTTCACAGAATTCTTCAAATCATCCCTTTGTAGCTTTTTTTTTCCAGCACTGCTTTTGCTGTTTGTTGCAAAATTCCCTTTAGGCCATTTTCGTCTTTATTCACCATTTAGTGTCTTGCATTGTCGTCTGGTTAATCTTTCAAAACTATCACAATGTTTTACCAACCCGCTTCTGATTTCCTTTTGTCATAGATTGAGTCGGTTTTTATCTGGAGTTTGCTCTTTGCTAATTTGATAATTATTCCTTTCGTACCCACTTTTCACAACCGATGCGATACTGTCTTCCGCTTAAGAGCATGTAGTCAATTTGATTACGGTTTTATCGTCCGGGGAGACCCAGGTTTCCTTATGTATGCCTTTGCGTGGAAAATCATCGTTATGGTAGCTAATTCCACTAGTCTTATTGCATTATAGTTAGACTCTACGTGTAAGCTATGTTTACCAGCCTTTTACTGCCTCAAAGTACTTTGTCTTTCAAATTTTCACATTAAATTCTCCTAATATAATAACACAGTGATGTTATAATTTGGTACTCTTCTTAGTTTTTCTTCTAGCAACTCCTAAAACTTCCTTGACCTTGTGTTAGTGAGATGTTAGTGTGGCGGCCTATGTGTTTACCCCTACTTGCCGAAAGATCGTACTTTCCCACCATTTGGGGGAAACCACAGACTGGGGAAACCAATCAGTGGACGGAAACAGTTACTTCCCGGGCAAAAGCCCCGCCGGACGCTGAATTACACCTGTCTGCACTGGCGTCGCCACTTTCGCGGATAACGGCCGCCTTCCTCTAAATTTGTTTGATCTTACCTAGTTTGTCATCATTGCTCTAAAGTCCATTACACTATTTTTCACATTCCCTTGAACATTGAATTTCACTCCAAATTCACTTTTTCTGGTTGCAGAGTAAAACATCATTTCATTCTTTTCTTCTAAGATGCCATTCTCGGGCGATGTTTTTTTTAATGGCAGCTCTTTGTAATTTAAACTTTTACTACTAGCATTTCATATCCTCCTGCTCTAATAAACTTCTTACATTAACTCGCTTTGTTAGTTTTTTGTTGTTTCGTTGAGGTAAATATATTGGAGGCTTCCTTTTTAGGTTTCAGAACTTGTAACTTTTTATGGAGATGAGTAGTTGGCCCATCGTCCAACCTTCCTCCTTTTTGAGGGTTTGGGACCGGCAGTGTTAACTGGTGAGCTATTCAATCCTCCTCCAGCTGCCCCAGGCGGAGTTTGAAAATTCTTTTTAAAAATTAACCTTAAAGTTAGAATTGTGTAGAACTGCCAATAACAAAACTTTGGAAAACGTCATCATTTTGAAAATATCAGAAACATTTTCCTTCTCTGTTTCTTGAATGTCATATTAATTAATCACCACAGGTAGACAAATAAATTTGGAAATTAAATTGTTCACATTTTACAGTTAGATTTAAAACTGTTGTTGGCTATACTTTGGAGGTTAGGAAAATGAAAAACTATTTATTTATTCTGTTAACTAAGTAATTCGCCGTTAATCAAACAGTTTGATTAAAGTTACAGACATGACAGCAGCGTTGCCACGCCGTTTTGCTTGCTATCGGTAGATTCCTTCGATAATTTTCGGTAAATTTCGGCATTTTTTCGGTAGATCGGTTTTTTGTGATAGAAAAGGTATTACACATAAATAATACGATTTTTTTGTCATATATGAAGAAGGTAGAAATATTTTGTTATTAAAAAGAAACAAATAAAAAACAAATATTAACACTGATCATTTAAAAAAATATATCTATAAGTAAACATGCTAAAGGTAGTAGGAACATTTTGTTAAAAATAAAAACACAATAAAACTATAATATTCCCCTTATTTATAGCATCAGGTGTCTAACTAATTAAAAAAAATCCCCTTTTAATTATAACGCACTTAAAAAGAATAGATATTTGGGGCTATCTATAAAAATCTATAGTGGTTGCGCTGGTGTGTAATAGAGGGAACTAAACAAATCCGCAGAACTAAATTTATACTGAAAAAAATATTAAGAAATAAAATTATATAAAAAAAATATTGAAAATTTATAAATACATTAAAAATAAAAATTTCTTGAATTATCGTAGACTTTTCGGTAGATTTGGTGTTTCAATCGGTAGATCGGTAGACAGAGGCCAAAATCGGTAGATCTACCGAAAATTCGGTAGAAGTGGCAACACTGCATGACAGTGATAATGACAGTGTGAGTTCGTTTAAAGGCGGCGCCGGACATTTGAGCCTACTCAAATACCGAGCAAATGCTCGCCAAATCCCGAGTAGTGAGGGTAGGTTGATCACTAATTGCCGAGCACGAATGTTTGGTTTCCGCAGTGTGTTGGTCAATTGGGCCACATCAAAGTGAACGAATATTCGTTCGGAGGTCAGAACTACCTAACAGGTCTCTGTAAAGAAATTGTAAATACTTATTATAGAGGCGATGTACATTTTTAAAGAATTAACTGGTTTACGCTTCTACTGGTAAAACATAACAAAAATCATTCTAAGAATGAAAAATAAAAAATCCAACACGAAGTGGCACACCTACTGTTCTTACAGTGATAAATATATTGATTTCCATAAAAATCCGAACACCTTGAATTAGTTGACTGATAAAACTGAAGGTTTCACTAAATGTGCATTAAATCGAACCAAATAAATAATAGGCCTAAAACTTGTGAAATAAAAAATTTATTCAGTAATGTGTGGGTCCACCTCTATTTCTAATGCACTCATTTATTCGGCGAGGCATGCTTGAAAGAAGATGGTTTATGGTGTCCTGTGGGATGTCGTGCCAAGCTTCCTGAAGCCGCATACGAAGGTCATTTAAATTATTCAGGGGATGCTGCAAGTTAGCTAGACGTGTGTCCATGATATCCCACACATGTTCGATTGGTGACAAATCTGGTGAACGAGCAGGCCACAAGAGACCTGTAACATTATGTTGTTGAAGGTACTCCGTTGTGACTCTTCCCGTATGTGGGCGTGCACTGTCTTGCTGAAATAGGGGTCGATCTAACCCTCTGAAGTAAGGAACTGCAATCGGTTCCAGTACTGTATCGATGTATCCTCTTACATTCAAATTTCCCTGAATGAAAACTAGAAGGGACCTGCCACTCTGCCTTATTGCCCCCCAAACCATCACGCCTTGTATGAGAGCTGTTTGCGAAATTCAAATTTCGGCATTCTCCACGAAATCGCCTCAGCCTCCTACGTCCATCGTGACCCCAAAGACAAAACCGGGATTCGTCTTAGAACACTATCCGATTCCATTCGTGGTCCCAATTTGCTCGCTCGTTGTACCATTGCAGCTTACGAGCACGATGTCTTGGTCTCAATGGGAGGCATAGAAATGGTCGATAAGAACGTAACCCAAACGACCTTATTCGGCGATAAACTGATGACATGGAGATCCTATGCTCCAACGCACTCATCCAATCAGTTGCAATTGTACGAGTGTCAGAACGTCTGTCTCGTAGGGCAGCAATTCGTAGATGACGATCTTCGCGTGCTGACGTTCTTTGAGGACGACCACGAATTCGCTCATGCACTCCTGCCTCAGATCACCTCTTCCAACACAGCAACACCGTTGAAACACTGCGGCCTATACGATCCGAAATTTGCCTTATTGAAAAACGGCTTCTCTC